AAGCGCATCTGAGGAGCCAATCGTCCAGGTATGCGGGTGACAGCACCTGCCCTGTGACCTGGCTACCTGAGCTGGAATTAGCATGAGTTTGGTGAACACCCTTGGCGCTGTGGAAATGCCGAAGGGGAGTACCGAAACTGATAGCACCTCCCGCCGAAGGAAAACCTTAGGTATTTCCGAACTCGGGTGCATAGGGACATGGAAGTACGCTGTCTTTGAGGTCGCATTGATCGGAGCCAATCTCCTTCTCCACAGACGAAATCACCGAACGCAGTGTTTCCATCTTGAAGGACGGTACCTCTAACATGTCGTTTCAGACCTTTGAGGTTTAGAATAGGTCTGAACCCTCCGCGTCCTTTTGGTGACAAGGAAATAAGTTGAGTAAAACCCAACATTTCTTGTCCCACAGGAACCACCTCTATGGCTGCCTTGTCCAGCAAGCGACTGGACCTCGCCTCGAGCACTTCCGCCTTCTCTAGGGCAGCCGCACTGGAGTGCAACGGATCCCGGAGAAGGGGTGGGTCTCGCTTCCACTGTGTGGCATGTGGCCTTCCCTGAGTGTGGACAGGACCCGAGGATTGGACGTGACTTTTTCCCATTCCGACAGGAAGAGGGAAAGTCGACCACCCACAGGGATATGTGGCAGGAGACATTGAATACCTGACTTTGGCAGTACTCGACTGCTTGGTCTGGTACCAACAAGGGCTCGGGAGGAATTATAGCTGGGAAGCCGGGCTGACTTCCCCCTTCCTCTGAAAGGCTGGTGGGGCGTGGCCTTGCCCTTGCCCCTGCCTCTGCCCCTTACCCTCCTCGCTGGACTGCAAGGGCTGAGCCCATTTAACAGATTCCTTCGCCGCCGCAGAAGGATATCGCGGAGGAGACAACCTGGGAGCGTGGCGAAGACGTGTGAGGCTGTTCCAGCAAGGGCTTAGAGTCCTTGAAGGTTGAGACAGCCTCAGCTCGGCCTCCCGGACTACTGTAGCTGCCCCGGGAACAGGGTAGAACCCATCGGAATGGCAGCCAGCAGAGCCTGCTTGCGTGGCAGGTGAATACCTCGCCAATGAAAGTTACAGGCGACGGAGGCCCATCACCGCCGACATCATTTAAGCGGCGACCCGACTCGACCTGATAGAATCGCTCGGCGCCAGATGTGACTGTACCTCCGTTAATTGCTTAGCCAAGGTGGAGGGAGGCGAATCTTCCTTCCACCCCACCCACATCCAGTAGTTGCCTCTGCAACACCGAGATGTAGGCGGAATGGATCGCCACTTTGAGGCATTGAACCGCGTGCGGTATTGCTCTTCAAAGGATCGATAGGCGATTTAAGCGCTGTAGCTGCTAGTCGTGGAACGGGCGGAAGCCGGGCGATCTTGCTTGGCTGAAGCCATAGAATTACCGGCGAACCCCCAGGGCTTAACGGATGCGTAAACACAATCGTCAACCACTGGGGGATTGTAGAGGCAAGCTCTCCCATGAGGCACCGACGGTCAAGTTCCCTGGCAAATCGAACCTGGACCTGGTACCACAGAGGAGGGGGCTGATTACTTCAGACAAGACTGAGGGTAATATACGCCCAGCCTTGTGTCCCCCACCTTGTGGGAGCAAAGCCTCCCTGGGAGGCTTAACCTCCTGAGGGTCGGTGCGCCAGTACTGACCACTACCTGGGGCAGGACAGAAGCAGGCATTCCCGCACCTGCCTCAGGGACGCGACCGAAAGCCAAAACCAAAGGCGCATTCAACTCCTCCGACCCTCATCCTCCTCCTCCATAGCCTCCTCGAATCGATCCTCAATGAGTGAGGTCTCTGTTTCCAGAGAGAGCTCTGAGGGGATCATCCGAGGGTCTACATGAGAGGGACAAAGGCTCCGAGCAGAGCCGGGTTGCTCCGCACACACCGACCCAAGACTTCGAGACGGAGTCGGTGCCGCGTGATGAGGAAGAGCCGTGCTGGGATTCCTCAATGGGAGACAAAATGATCCAGACACCAATGGCCCGCCAAGCCGGGCAAGCGGTGGGATCACTCGTAAGTAGCGGCAACTACAGGGACTGCCAAACTACTAACTACTGGACCAGACCCGAGCCAAGGCTCGGGCCGGTGTAGCTAGTTACTAAGCGGAGGGTGGCCAGCAACCGAGACCTAAACTTCGAGCCGACGCACTCCCGACAGAAACCCCACACCAGAGCCTAAGCTGAGGTTGGGAGCACTGCCCGCCATAGACCCTCGCACACACACCGTACCTGGTCGGACGCCAATCTCCTGACGGAGGCCCGCCATCGCGTCAGCCACGAGAGTGTGGACGAATCCATCTGCTTCTGCAATATATCAGAAAAGTAAATCAATTGTTAGCTGGTTAGAAACAGGGACAGGAGGGGGGAAGGTGCCTGTGATGTTGAGGGGATGGCAGGTGAAGGAGCCGGAGGCCCGTACCCTTCGGGCCGCTTAGGAGCATCCCCGAGAGAGGAAGCTTCAAGCCTTCTTTTTTTTTTTTTTATCTTTGTCTTTAGCTGACTCCTGACCCCCAAATGTCCCCCCCGCCTGAAGTAAGGACGTGTAGAACATGTAATCAGCACGCCTGGACTTGATGGTGCTGGGGAGAAAGCCACGACACATAGAACAACCTTGTTCGTCATGGGCTTCCTCCGCTAAACAACGTAAGCAAACCAGGTGGCGATCCTGAGGCGACAAACTGCGCTACAGGTGACACACCCCTTGGGCTGCAAAACAGAACCACGCTTATGATAATAGCAAGGACTGTAACGATATACATAATATAATATGCACACAACAAAACAGAACAAAATACAGCTCTCGGCTTTATATTTTAACTGTTACAGCAAAGCTATTAAATACTAGCGTAAAAGCCATAATAGCGGCGCAATTCGCGCATAGGTGACAAAGAGCAACATGTGTGAGCCGGACACGTAAACGCGTCACGAAAACACTCAAGCAAAACTTACCTAAAGCCTGGAAAAAAAAGGAATTTAGGCAAGTATAATCTACAAAATGAAATATCAGCCCTTTCACAACCCGACTACAAGGCTTTTTCTAAAGCCAGGAGAAGGAAAGCAAACGGGACCCCGCTGGTCCGCCATCTTGCCTGCCACATTTGGCTGGAGACAGCTTAACACGCCCGTAAAGTTACAACAAATCATGAATGAAAAAGTCATACAAAGATTCCAGCTAGGCCGAGGCGAAAAAAGGAACCATACATACAGGATTTGACTCTATCCTCACTCATCGCTCTCTTATTTCTTGGACCATGCAATCGACCTACACGGCCGACGACAGCATGAAAAGTGAGATACGAGGTACACAGCCAGAGTTACCTGCTCTTGGCTGTAGGGGGCCCTCTACGGGGCCCTGTAGGGGTGGTCTCACCACACATAACAAGTTTTTTGTTTGGTAAAATATTTTATTGAAATATTGTTACAACTGTCGTAGGCTTTTAAAATGGACATTTTAATGCTTATATGTACCCCAAGGAGGACTTCTTCTGAAAAAGAATAAGAGATTATCAAAGGATATGGTGTGTAAGGAGACACAAGGCGCTCTCACATCCTGCTCACTGGGCGAAGAAGGAGAGAGTGAAGCACATGGCCAGAGGGTGGCGACACCTTTCCCGCCAGGGGAAGCAAAGGGGAGCAACTCGTGGTGAGTACCAATTAGTGATTTTATTTTGAAGGGAGCTTCAAATAAGGAGATACAAGTGTTCCACTATGTTCGCAAGAAGAAGAAGACAAACAAAAGAGCATGAGTCAGGATAAGGAAAATTTTTATTATTTTGCCGATTTTTTTACCAAACATACCTCCTAAACTAATGTTCTGAATCGCTTACAAAAAATCACACAGATGCGCACCGAGGTGAAGATATTCCCCTTAAAAATCTCTAGGCTCTAGGGCCAATAGCAAAGGGGAGATAATTCAAAATAATTCCAAAATTTCAAAGTTTGACAGCAAATATCTCAAGAACTAATTGTTCCAACACTTCCAAATCTCTTGTACAGATGCACAATTGAATTCCCAACAATTTTGCCTGGACGGGTCAAGTCCCTAAATTGTACCGTTTGGCAGATATTTTTGTTGTCAGTTAAGGACCATGTTTTTCAGCAGTTTTCTGAGTAGTTTGCTCCTAAAATGTGCTGTGCTGGAAACCATCAGCTCCAGACATTTCAAACTTTCCATCACTGATGTCTAGTAACCATTGTGCAAATTCTGCACAAAAGTGCCAGTATGATAGATGCAGTCTTGGTGATTCCAGACACTAATTGTTTTGACCGTGAGACCCAAGGAAAACTGAGATACAGCCTTTAAAGAGGGAACTATTCTTCTCCAGAACTTCTTAAAAAGTACATGACCGCCACGATCCCGGCTGTATTTGGAAGATCCGTTTGCCTGTCAAAAACATGTTCTGGCTCCGTTTGGACGATGATTTCTAGCCCTCAAATACAATTCAAACACCTGTAACTCTCAAACCAACCGTCCGATTTCGACCACAATGTACCTGTACAAGTGGGCTATTAGTTTTGATTATAACTACTGATTGCAGTAATGTATCTCCAAAGACTAGCACTAGCACTAACTAAAACTATTACAACTTTCATCAAATATGTGACATACACAATAGGCTGGATAGAACTAAAGGTGTGGAGCCCCCTCATCGTTGCTTGCAACTATATTTTCATGATACAATTCTCAATCAATAACACCAACAGACTGACTGAACATGACATCAATACAATACAATTCAGAGATCATCTCACTTTGTGGCATGACATGGGTACCAGTATTCCACTGACTGACTGAGTTTATAAGCCACGCCTTTAGCAATATTCCAGCAATATCCGCGGCGGGGGACACCAGAAATGGGCTTAACATTGCCCATGTGGGGAATCGAACCCGGTCTTCGGCGTGATCGAGCCAACGCTTTAACCACTAGGGGCACCCTACCCCCACTCAGTATTCCGAGGTGATCATACAATGAAAGAGTGAGAAGTACAAACCTTGATTTCACTTTGCATTTCTTCAAAACGAATTGACTGAATGTCTCTGTTTACAATAGGCTTGTTTCTTATGTTCCTTGCCTGAAATGTAAGGTGCAATGACCGGACTGACTGAGTTTAGTTTTATGCGGCTTAGCAATATTCCAGCAACATCACGGGCTGGGGACACCAGAAATGGGCTTCACACATTGTGCCCATGTGGGGATTAGAACCCGGTCTTCGGCGACTTGCCAACGCTTTAACCATTAGGCTACCCCCACAGCCCAAGGTGCATTTGAAGTAAGGGTATGATATACATGTATACAAGAACACACATACAATGAATTTTGCATTTGGTAAATAACCTCAAGTGAATTTGTTCATTTGAATACATACTGGTCTTGTCCATTAGCATATTTGAGAGCATTGAGAGATTTTCCCCATTAGCATATTTGAGACCATTAAAAGATTAAGGGCCTTACCTCATTTGCATATTTGTAAGCACTAAGGGACCTGCCCCATTAGCATATCTGAGACCATTGAGAGGAGAGACTTGCTTCATTAGCATCTTTGAGAGCACTGAGAGACATGCTCCAGTAGCATATTTGAGAGCATTTAATGACTTACCCTATTAGCATATTTGAGAGCATTGAGGGACTCATCGAAGTTGGCAGAGGCTGGACTGATACAGCAGATCATAAGGGTCTGTGCATTGCCACCAAGGGAATCCTGAAACAGCAATGGGAGTTTCACTGTGTGGAATCTGGTTTCATGGCAATTCAGGTGTTCAGGTACTGGGATAGTGAGCGAGATTCACTAAACCTTTTGACAGTATCCCAGGTATAGCAAGGCAGCTTAATGTGGCTGGAATGCCGGCAGTGATGCAGGCCTCTGAAGTTTACCACATTGTCCTAACCAACAAGAATGGGCATAGTGCTTAGGGTTTGGTATTGCCAAATTTTCGTATTGCGATATTTTGTGATATGTGTTGGCGTATTGCAATATGTATTGCAACATATTGTGAAAGTGTAGCACATGACTTAAGGCATTAAATCGTTGTTTACTTTCTTTGAAACAATGCCACTGGCCACTCAGATGTAATTACATGAGATGAATTGAAAATGTTCCCAAATTGAAGACTTTGCTCTATTAGTAGTTTTGACTACATCCACGAAATTACCGAGCGTGATCGGGTGAACCGTTCGGCGAAAAGTGTACCGCCAATACATCAGATTGTGAAGTTAGAATTGCAATATACCGGTTAACCGGTATTATCGCGCACCCCTAATAGTGCTGCAGAAACATAATCAGGGTGAACCCACAATCGTTGGCTTTTGATGTGCCCAAGGGGAACAACTCTTCCCAGCAAATCAAACCTAAAGACAACCAAGATACAGAACTCTCCACAGCTTCCTGTCTAGGCTAACTTGGCTACCTGCGTGCTTAAAGGCATGTACAGAGTACATAGACAGTCATACACATAAATACCTTCAACAAGCGTGTAATCTTGGACTCCCGGTATGGAATGTGGGTGCTCTTCTTCTTCGGATCCCCGAGGGCACTGATGACGCGTTCCCAGTGACAGAAGTCCTGTATTGATGAATGGACTCTGGAAACAGAAACACGGACCCTACTCATGATAATCCTATTCAGATGATCTGCAATATCCAGATCTTTTCTCTAAGAAAAGTAGACAGAACTCCCATGGTGCAGAGTAAGTGTGAATGGTATTAATGCCACTTTGAAAAAGGTTCTTGTTATATTATAGATAACTGAGAAACAAATAAAGGATCACAGATCACAAGCGTTCCTTTAATATTTTCCAGTTTTCATCACCAGTTTGAATAGCACTGTGGTGATGAAAACCGGAAAATATTAAAGGAACGCTTGCATTTTCCTGTGATCCTTTATTTATTTCTCTCAGTATAATGTGTGATGCAAGAAAGGAAATATGCAGGTTTCAGATGTTTACTGAGGTGGTGGGGTAGCCTAGTGGTTAAAGCGTTCACTGGTCACGCCGAAGATCCGGGTTCGATTCCCCACATGGGTACAATGTATGAAGCCCATTTCTGGTGTCTCTCTGCTGATATAGCTGGAATATTGCTTAAAAGCAGCATAAAACCATACTCCCTCCCTCACTCATTTAGATGTTTATCACACTAGCAAAACCTAGAAACATAATTGGGGCATACTGGTATTTGAACCCACAATATATGCCCCATGATGAAACTCAGATGACTTGGAGGCACTCAGCACCACTGAGCTAGAAAACACCCTATTTGAAACTCCATGCATGCAAGTTTCACATAAAAGCA